TTCCTATGAGAAAGCCCGTCCAGGGGTCAGACCGGGGCCAGGAGGTAAGCCCAGATGGTCTTGACAGCAGAGGGAATTGCTGAAGGAGGATTCAACACGAAGCCTTGACCTCTGGCCAGGCTCATCTCTGTAGAAGCTCTCCAGCCCCTCCGGTGAGCCCAGGACGTCGGCCCACCCTCAGCCCCAGGAGGCCTGGCCCTTTCCTCAGGGATTATGGCTGTCTGAGTCTGCCCCAAATATCTGCCCGCATGAAGGGAGACCCTCAGAGAGTCAGAGGGGGGCCTCTGGAGCTCACACTTCCTCTGATGAAGCTGCTACCATAGAAATCAAACCCTCCCTGAGCAAGAGCTGCTCCCCGCCTGGGCCTGCCTGTCTGTTATCCCAGAACTCAGGCCGGCCAGCCCCATATTGGCAGGTGGGGAATTGAGACATGAGTCCTCCAGTCTCTGCAAGGAAGAAATTTCTCTTTCTACAAGAACCACAAAGGGATCGCTAGGAAGGGCCCTAGGACTGAGCATCTTCTGCCCTGAAGGCCTTCCTCTGGTCCACTCCAGGGGGAAACTGAGCCACCAGTTAGTCTCCCCCAGTAGTACCTAGCACAGTGCCTGCTGTGAGCAACAGCTCTGCTCTGGATCTCAGAAAGCTGGGCCCACCTGCAGCCACAGACAATGGCCTGGGGAGGGCAAAAGGTCATGCCAAAGGCCAGGCATGGCCAGTGGGTCTCAGGGCACATCCAGGCCTTCTCCAGGCTCTCTGACTGTGTGTCCCTAGGGAGCAGACCCCATAGGGAATGGGGACCCCAGAACCAATCGCAAGAAATCTCTTCTCCAGCCACAAGAACCAGCAGTGTGGCCTAAGGTAGGGCCTCCCTGGTGGCACAGGTGATACAACTGGAGGACGCCTTCCCAGTCACTCAGCCTCCACATTGCCTTACTCACCTGGGTATGAGCAGTCAACTCCAAGCTGAGCTGGCACTCCTCGCTGGGGCCCAGCAGGCCATGGCTGGGGGAGACTGTCACCATGCAGAAATCTGCTTGGTCCCCCAGGAGCTGGCAGACACATGTTGTGAGCCTGTTGTCACTTACTGAGCTCCCAGCATGGACCAGTGTCCAGATAGTGCTCAGCACTGCTGCATGCAATGCTGGGGACTGGGAGACTGGGACCCACAGCAAAACCGACAGGGCTGGGTGCTGACTCCTGGGGATAAACCACGGTCCCTTCTCCTCTCCTCCCCAACCCTGGATGGACTTTACCACATGTTGGGGGGTTTTCTGGACTAAAGACACTGCCCTGGAAGGCCCAGAGGACAGGGAGCAGAGGGCACACCCTCCCGGTGCACGTGGATGTGGCCTTATCTCCCACGACACTCAGAGCTCCCCAGTCAGCCACAGGCAGGAACAGCACCACACGTGGGCTCCAACAGCTGCCTGGGCCAGGCATGGGCTGTGCTGGCTGGGAGGCTCGAGCTGTGTTCACCAGAAACTCCTTCTTGGGCAGGAAACTGGAATTCCCAAAAGGCAAGGCAAGAAAAAGCTGGACCAGATATGCTGCTCCTTTGAGGAGCTTTCACGTACACTATGCAGCAAGGGACAGGCTGTGGGAGGGAGGCTGAGTATCTCTGCTCTGCGAGGATATTTGGGGGACAGTGCCCCCCCCACATGGGCCTCAGTTGCTGAGAACTGCAGACTGTTGTCTGATGCTGTGGGCTCACCACTCACCTTGCCCCAGTGGAACTGGGTAGGCAGGAGCGTGCCATTGATAAGTGCGATGGTCATCTTCGTGGGCACACCCAGGTAGAGATTTCTAACCTCCACCTGGCTGCTCTGCAGGTACACATAGGGCTTCTGTATCTCAGCATACACAGGAAGGTAGCTGGAACACAAGGAAACAAAAGGCATGCTGATCAGAAAAGAAGAAATAAAACTGTTCCAATTTCTAGATGTCGTGCAGTCTATGTGGAAAACCCCAAGGTGTCTATATTTTTAGAAACTCTAGAACTAATGGGTGGCTTCGGCAAAGTTACAGGGTGTAAGATCAACACACAACAATCAACCACATGTGGAATGTGTGGAAACTGGAATTTAAAATACAGTACCATTTGTAATTGCCCCAAAAGTAGAAATCTCGGTTGTAAGAGAAATTGTTGCAAAAACTTTCTGGGCTTAATTTGAAGTGGCTTACTTCACTTTTCCTCTGGGCATATTTCAGAATGCTTACTTCTCCTCCCCATCCCACCCTGGCCATACAAGAGAGAATTTTTTCCGGTCTTTACCGTGAGAACCTACTGGGCCCCCAGGATTTTTAAACTCTCAAGCTCGCCACACTCCGCCCCCAGGAAGTTGTTGAAGCTACCACTTAAGTGTTCTTCCGCTTCAGGTAAACTGATCTGTACTTGGTATTTGCCGGTATCTCCAGGTTCTGGGGCGGCCACTTCCTGTAACCTCAACTCTGACAGATCTAAGAAAAATCATCGTTTCCGTTCGTTTCGTCTTTTCTTGTTGTGACAGCAGGAGCTTGACGGGCAACGTCTTTACATGTCTGAATGGCAGGAGGTATTTTGCAGGTATGATTGATGTTGAAAATCAGTTAAGTTTAAGTAAAGGAGATTATCCTAGATAATCTAGGTGGGCCTGATTCAATCAGTTGAAAGGTGGTTTTTTTTTTGTTTGTTTTTTTTTTGAGACAGAGTCACTGTGTCACCTAGGCTGGAGTGCAGTGGTATGATCTTGGCTCAATGCAACCTCTGCCTCCCAGGTTCAAGCAATTCTCCTGCCTCAGCCTCTTGAGTAGCTGGGACTACAGGCATGTGCCAATGTGCCAGGCTAGTTTTTGTGTTTTTAGCAGAGATGAGGTTTCACTGTGTTGGTCAGGCTGGTCTCAAACACCTGACCTCAAGTGATCCACCTACCTTGCCCTCCCAAAGTGCTGGGATTACAAAGGTGAGCTACCACATCTGGCCACTAAAAGGTCTTAAAAGCAGAAATGGGGTTACCCAAAGAAATTCCCTGTGTCTATAACAGCTTCATCTTGTCCCTAAAAGTGCCAGCCTGCCCTTCCTGAAAACCTGCCCTACAGATTTCAGGCTTGCCTAGCTAATTCCTACAGTTGCGTAAGCTGATTCTTTGTAATAAATTTCTTAATACATTATTATTATTATTATTTTTTGAGATGGAGTCTCACTCTTGTTACCCAGGCTGGAGTGCAACGGCGTGATCTCGGCTCACTGCAACCTCCACCTCCCGGGTTCAAGCAATTCTCCTGCCTCAGCCTCCCGAGTAGCTGGGACTACAGGCGTGCACCACCATGCCCAGCTAATTTTTGTATTTTTAGTAGAGACAGGGTTTCACCTTGTTGACCAGGATGGTCTCGATCTCTTGACCTCATGATCCACCCACATCGGCCTCCCAAAGTGCTGGGATTATAGGTGTGAGCCACTGCGCCCAGCCCCTTAATACATTATTAAGAAACAAATCTTAAGCCTTGACTGATACAAACACATCAAGGTAAATTCATATGTAAATGCAAAAGACAGAATAAATGTATTTTTGCTTACTTTTCTGATTTAAAGGGCAACTATATAAACCAATAACTGCAAAACTGTTTTGATGAGCCTATAATGTATAAATATGTAATCTGTACAACAGTAATAGTTCAAAGGAAGGGGAAAGAATGGAGCTGAGCTATGTTACGGCAACATTTCAGACTACTGAAATTAAGTTGGTGTTAGTCTAAACAAGACTGTTTTAAAATTAAGGTATTAACTATAAAGCCTTGGACAACCAGTAAGAAAATAACTTTTTAAGAAGTAAAAGAAACATGGAAATTAAAATGGCATACTAGAAAATACCTATCTAACACAGAATAAGGCAATAATGGAGGAAAGCAGGAACAAAAAGGCAAAATTCATACAGAAAACAAGTAGCAGAATGGGAGATGTAAGTACTGTTTTATTAGTATTTACATTAAATATAAATGGAATCAACAATCCAATCAAACGGCGGAGATTAGCAAAATGGATTTTTAAAAAACGATCCAAGTATATGCTGTCTCCAAGAGACACTTTAGATTCAAAGACACAAGCAGTTTAAAAGGAAAGGGATAGAAAAATATATACCATGCAAACAGTACCCCAAAGAGAGCTCTAGGGGATACATGAATGTTAGATAAAATAGGCCTTAAGACAAACATTGTTATTAGAGACAAGGAAGGATATTTTATAATTATAAAAAGGTCAGTTAGAAAGATATAACAATTATAAACGTGTATGTATCTAACAAAAGCACCCCAAAATCCACGAAGTAAAAACAGAAAATTAAAGGAGAAATCAACAATTCAACAGTAATGGTTGGAGACTTCAACAGCTCACTTTTAATGATGTAAAAACAACTAACCAGGGCCGGGCGCGGTGGCTCAAGCCTGTAATCCCAGCACTTTGGGAGGCCGAGGCGGGTGGATCACTAGGTCAAGAGATCGAGACCATCCTGGTCAACACGGTGAAACCCCGTCTCTACTAAAAATACAAAACATTAGCTGGGCATGCTGGCGCGTGCCTGTAATCCCAGTTACTCAGGAAGCTGAGGCAGGAGAATTGCCTGAACCCAGGAGGCGGAGGTTGCAGTGAGCCGAGATCGCGCCATTGCACTCCAGCCTGGGTAACGAGTGAAACTCCTTCCCCCCCCCCCCAAAAAAAAAAAAAAAAAAAAACTAACCAGAAGATAAACATTGAAATAGAAGATTTAAACAACACTAAAAACCAAACAGAACAGACAACACTCTACACAATAGCAGCAGAATACATATTTTTCTCAAGTACACAAGAAATATTCTCCAGAATGGACCATAAAACAAGCCTCAATAAGTTTTAAAGGACTATAATTGTATAGATTGGCTTCTCCAACAATAGAATCAGCTTAGAAATCAACAACAGAATGAAATTTGTGAAACAAAAGTATGTGCAAATTAAATAACACACTCATAAACAAGCCAAATAAGAAACCACAAGAAAAATTAGAAAATACTTTTATACCAATTAAGATGAAAATATGATATATGAAAAGTTACAGGATGCAGCGGTGCTTAGGAAAGTTTATATTTGTAAATACCATTTGCTTTAAAAGAAAGAAAAGATTATAAATCAAAAACCTAAACTTTCACCTTAAGAAACTAGAAAAAGAAGAGCAAACTAAACCCAAAGCAAGCAGAAGGGCAGAAATAACAAACACTAGGAAGCAGAGAGAAATGAAATAAAAAACAGAAAAACGTTACAGAAAATCAACAAAAGCAAAATCTGGTTCTTGGAAACTATCAACATTGATAAACCTTTAGCTAGACTGACCAAGAAAAATTTGATCAAGACTCAAATGAGAGAAATCAGGAATGAAAGTGGGGACATCACTTCTGATCATGCAGAAATAAAAATAATTACAAGAGAACACCACTAAAACATAAAACAAAGAACACCACTGATAACTGTGTCCCAACAAACTACATTGGCCACTATGCAATCTATGCACATAACAAAATTGCACATGTACCACATACATTTGTACAAATAATAAAAATTAAAACTGAAAATTAAGAAAAAGATTGGGCTGCAGGAGGGCGGATCATGAGGTCAAGAAATCGAGACCATCCTGGTCAACACGGTGAAACCCTGTCTCTACTAAAAATACAAAAATTAGCTGGGCATGGTGGCACAAACCTGTAGTCCCAGCTACTTGGGAAGCTGAGGCAGGAGACTCACTTGAACCTGGGAAGCGGAGGTTGCGGTGAGCCGAGATCGCACCATCGCACTCCAGCCTGGGCAACAAGAGGGAAACTCCGTCTCAAAAAAAAAAGTAAAGAAGAACTCCAACATCTGAGAAAACAGAAATTAGTTTTCTCAGGGGAATCTGAGAGACTTTTGCACTGATAAGACAATAAGAGATTACTACAGAAAAGGAAAGACCCAAAAACAACAAAGCTTGAAATTTAAAAAACGTGATTGCCTCTTCTGGAGACAGAGGCTCCCCTCCGCCCAGCAGGGGAAGGGGCAGTACACAGCCCACACAAGAGCAATCAGGGCCCCTCTCTGGAAAGAGCCAGATTCACTTTCAGAGGTTGTTAAGCTGTGAGTGTGTGAGCCTGGAGCGTTAAGCGGCCTCTCCCCAGGGCAGAGGGCTAAGAGGGCCCTTGTCACCAGAGGAGAGAAAGGCTCACAAAGAAAGAAGCAGAGGTGAGGGGTGGGGCTGGGGTGGATGGAGGGAGGGAGGAGGGGAGGGTAGAGAAAGAGAGAAAGCAGACCAGGCAAAGGGAAAAGGTTGGGCCCTTGGATTCAGCAAGGCAAGAATGCCCCGTTACATGAGCCAATGCTGCTCCTTTTTTGCCTAAGTTGGTAATGCCTGTGTTTCCATCACTTGCTACTATAAACATTCTGAATACTACAAGGTCCTTTCAGAAGAACAGAGACAGAAAAGGAAAGGAAATAGGCAAAGATTAAATAGAAAGCCCTTCCCCTGAGCTGCAGGCAGACTTAGCCTTCACCTCTGACACCCAGAAAGCACCTTGCACCCATGCAAAGACTCATACCTAGACCTGTATTTGTTATCACTGGAGAGGACAATTGAACTGTCAGATGGCCAAGTATACAAAGTCCCATAGCATCTGTCATGGTGAGAGTGTGGGGCAGTGGCTAGTCTCACACACTGTAGGTGGAAGTATAAAATGACACAGTCTTTTTGGAGGATAATTCAAGAGCATCCATAAAGATCTAAATGTTTTTACAATGAAACACCAAATAGATGCAAAAATGAGTATAAAACATACATGCAGTTTAACAAATAGTAAAACAACATCTATGTACTGCCTCTGCACAACTTTAGAAACAAAATATTATCACCAGCCAGCTTAAGAAAATAAATACTTTATTTGAAAATAATTTGGGAAGGACTGGGGAGAAGCAGACAGGGGATATGGATGAAGGAGTACTTGTAGTGAGCTGACAATTATTGAAGGGAGGAATGAGTACATGGGGGCTTATTATACTATTCTCTCTGTTTTTATACATGTGAGAAGTTTTCCACTAGAGAGAAAGAAAGAGAGGAGGAAGGAAATGGGGGAGGGGAGGGAGAATGAAAAAGGAAAAAAAAAAAGGAATTCTTCTAATACCTTTGAAACCTCTAGCATGTTCCTTCCAGAAAACAATGGTATGTGCTTATTTAAATATGTCACGCCTTTTTTGTGTCCATTCTCCTATGGACAATGGTTGTTTCTAGCTTTTCCTGTAGGGAGAGTCCAGGCTGAGCATTCCTACATGAGCGCACATCACCCACTGTGCATGGAAAAGGGTTTCCCTAGGAGTATAACCCGAAAGGCAAACACTAGCGAATGCTAAAGGAGTTTCCACTTTACACCCCTTTAGCACACCCACCCTAGAAGGATATATGCATAGCATTATCAGGGGATCACCTCTAGATAATGGATTATGGGTCATCTTAAGTTTCTTTTCTGTAATGTACACATTTTATAGAATGCAAATTTTCTGGAGTCAATAGTTTTAAATCCAGAACACCTCTAGATAAATATATAATATAGATAAATACACCGCAAAGATGCACAGAGTTTGTTGTTGTGGCTCTTCCCACTGTCCCCTTACCTCCAGGCTCCATTTTCCACCTCCAGCTCCAGGACGGTCTGCAGACGCTGGCAATGCAGGGCCTCCAAGGTGATGTCCACCCTGCACTCCCCTAGAGGGTGAAGCTGGCCACTCGAAGGCTCAATGTCGAAGGGAGAAACCTGCTCCGGAGAACACTCAGGAAGATGAGCACTGAGGACACTTGGAATTGCAGAGGAACTGGGGGCTGGCCGCACCCAACCAAGGTTGCCCCTAAGCCACCCTAGCTCTTCCAAGAGCCATCTGGGATCCAGAAAGAGGCAAGCAGGTGCGGGACCACAGTCACAAGAGTCTCGGGATTAAGAGCATAGAAACCGAGTCTCCAAGTAAAGGAATGCACAAGCCAGAGGTCCCCATGCCCTGGCCCAGATCTGAGAGATAGAAGGCAGAGGGAGGTGCTCCAGGAAAAACGGGGAGAGCTGGAGAGTCAGAGGTGAGCTGGTGAACCAAACTAGGGGGGTGGCCCTCTGAGCAGCTTCCACCGAGGAAAGCCACCAGGTCACTAGATTGGGGGAGCGGAGAGTCTGCTGTGGCCACAGAATTATCTTTTGCACCCACATGGTCCTTCCCCCACCCACTCCTCCTGTCCCCCAGTGTAGGTCTGCCCCTCCTTCCATGCCAGGCACACACACAAAGGGAGAGGGGAAGGGAAAGAACAGGAGGAAAAGTGTCCACCTCTGGGGAGGGCTCTTTACAGTCCATTCTTCCTGCCCTGACAGAGAGGACACTTGCCCCTGTAAGGAAGGAACACTTTGCTTTATTTTGTCTTTGTTGCTCATGTGCACCTCTCTTGGAGCCCTGAAACTCTGATGGTGGCTGTAGTCTGGGGTTTCTATGTCCCTTAATCTGAGAGCACCTAACAAACCCCAAATCCCAACATTGTTTTTGAGAGCTCAAAAGAATAGAGTACAGAGAGCTGTAGAGGCGGGATTCCCACCGGCTTGCTTATGACATACATATTACAATATTATAACACTGACAGTTATTTCCATGATAAAACAGGTTATTCTTCACAGTGGGAGAACACCACAGACTGGAATCGAGAGGAGAGGGATGCCGCCACCTATCAGCCCCGCAACCCTAGGGAAGCCCGGTCCCTTCCAGCCTCTCCTCTAGCAACTGAGGAGGCTCACTGAGGTCTGTATGCTTCCAGCTGCGCTCTGGAAAATCCCTGGAGATCCTTGGCAGTGAAGGGGACTGGAATGTTGGGAGAAGCGGATGCGGCAGAGGTGCCTAACAAGGGGTCTCTGGGTGGCTGGAGCAGTCACACTTTATTCTACGTACTGGGTGTTTGCGTAAGGTTTCATTTGAAGAAAGGGTTCTTGGCTAAACATAACATGGACGCTAAAGATATTGATGCCACCCTGCCCCCAGCCCCATCCCAGCCCAAGCCCCAGCCTTAGTCTTCTGTGGTATCAAGATCCACGGTGGGAGACCAGTGAGTCCTGGGAGGGAAAGCATTGAACTCCAAGCCCGTGTAACAGGTACTTGGCAGTGGCATTGGCAATTGGATGCATACTGTCATAACTTCTAGGTTTCACGGTGCCCAGCTACAGGCCGTCGGTAAAGGAGCGGGGTCTCCCCAGAGTGGAAAGTCAAGTCCACTGTCCTGGAGAAAGGGGATGCGCGCTAACAAACAAGGTGTACATGTGGCTTGGACTGTCTTCCCTGGGCTCCTGAATACAGGAGGAAAAGTGTGCGGTGTTCTGACTCAGAGAGCCAGTGGGCAAGCAGGATGGGGATGCTGCTGGGAAGCAGCCAGAGGGAGGGTGCGGTCACCAAACAAACAGGGCCAGGGTCTCACAGGTGCGGAGCACCAGGGAGCCACAGCCATGCCATGGTGAAGGCGGCGTACAACTCACTGCGGCCGCTTTGCAAGTAGCTGGTGCTTTGTGTGACTTTGTTTTGCTCCAGATCGCCCGTTGCATTTAAATATGATTATGATAATACTTAGCTGCTTTTTTTCTACTTTTACAGTAAAAAGAAAAGTGCTATTTGAGCGGAAATGAATCTTGAATTTTCTTTTTGGAGCCTTGGGTTTGGGCCACCAGCCTGTGACCAGATGCCATCTGGTAGCAGATCCCTGGGAGGATCTGAACCTTCCAGAGAGTGGGACGGAGGTGGGAATGTGGCTGGAGTGGCAGCTGCCTTGGAGGCTTTCTGCCCAACTTAGCTGCCCATTGCTTCCTGCCTCAGCCGGCTCTGATGAGGGAGAAGCCATACCCTATTTCTGAATCAGATAGTGGAGAAGGGCGCAGGAGACGCGGCTGTGGGGGTACATCTGGCTGCATCTCCTCAGCCACGGTGAGAACCAGAGGCACCACCAGGCCGAAGTCACTGGGCAGGCTTTTCCTCCCCAGCCTCAAAGCTCTGATCTAAACGCACCAGGGCAAATTGCAGCACATCAAGTTAAACGGGCTCATTGTGGGGGCATCAGAGGACCCAGCAGCGCCCAACTTACATCCTCAGGCCTTTCTTGGAGGCAGACTGGGCTCTCCTTCATGCACCACACGGCTGGGAGTGGGCTGATGTTCTGGATCTGGATGGAGTTTGTGGCCTTCTGCCCCAGGCGGAGCAGACCAAACTGAAGGGCTGAGATGCTGATGATGAGGGCAGGCCCCTGAGACACCCAGAGGGCCTGTCACTGGGCCACCAGGGGATGGCTCTGTGTCCCAGCCCTGCCACCTCCCTGGGCCCACCCTGCTCCCAGCTCCACCTATAGCACCTTAAAAGCTGCCTCAATGTGTAACACCACTGGTGAGGGCGAGCCTTGGATTTCACACAGCAGATCCTGGCTTGTGGGGCCAGGGACACCCCCAGTAAAGTTCAACTCGAAATCCTCGACCTCACTGGGCTCTGAGAGAGAGAGGGAGAGGGAGAGGTGGAGAGGAGAAGCAGAGGCATTTCCTCCTATGGGTGGGCACAGACACCTGGCTTGCATGGACTTCTCATCTGCCTCACATCCCAGGCATCGGCTGGAGCAGTCTCAGGCCTCCTTTCACTCTGAAGATTTCCTCCCGAGCCAGCCCGAGGCAGGCCACCACCCTCCTGCCGCCCCCAGGGCACCTATGACCCCCGTGCAGGGCTCCACTTCGATGACGTGGCAGTCGCTGATCTTCCCCCACAGGTATCTGATGGGTGACTTGCTGTTGTTCCACATCTGAAAGACACACCGACACCAGGCTGCCTGTTTACTGCCCCTTCATGTCCACTCTGTACCTGCTGAAGGACTGTAGGATCGTGGGCTCGTGAAGGTCCCCATGACACCTCCCGGTTAGCTCCCCGCCACCTAAAGCCATGGGCTTCCCAACCGGAAAGCACCCTCCCTCCACCCTGCAGTGCATGTGGCTGTCATATTCTGCCAAGGAGGGGAATGGGTTCCACAGCCCTAACTTTCAGAGGGTTCTGGGAGGCTGATAAAATGACAGCCATGCCTGGCCTATGCATCTGTGCACGTCAAGTTGGGTTCAAGGCCCTGGGAACCGCCTCAGCCTCCACACAGTGGCTGCTGCCATCCGCCCCTCCTGCTCACACCCACGTCAGCACCGCCTCGGCCAGCCCAGGCAGGGGAGGGACAGCGGCCCACCTTAAATGCCTTCTTCACATTCATGCCAATGTAGTTCTCCCCCGGAATCATGAGGGCATATGGCTCTAGGACGACCTGGAAAGGTTCTACTGAGCCTTTCACCTCGATTTCCAGGACAATCACATCATCCACAGGGTAGGAGGAGTGTCCCAGGTTCTCCGCTTCTGAACTAAATGCAAACCCATGGTGAGCCAGGAGCCGGCACACCTGCGAGCACATCCTAGCATGTCCCTGCCCCTGTCCCACGTTTGGCCTTGTAAAAAGAAAACACTGCCAAGCTCACAGCTCCCGAGCCCCACTAAATCAGAGGCATTAGCCAGTGCCCAAAAGGTGACGAATACCTATGGCTGTGACAGCGGTTTAGCCTAAGGCCTGGGACAGGGGCACTGCCCTACTGCCTCCAGGGACCACCCTGCAGCCCTCCAGCCTAGGATCTCTGCACCAAGCGGACTGGGGTGCCAGCCTGAAGTTTTACACCGTGGGCCAAACCCTTCCTTCCACACCCACCACCACTGGGCCCCCCGAGTTTGGCTGCCCAAGAGCAGCAATGGGCCCGAGTTGCAGCTCTGAAATTCCCGGGGTGGCCTCGCAGTGAGTTTAGTGTGCTGAGCCATTGCAGGGCTGGGTTGCCAGGGTGAGGCAAAACAATGCCCCCACTCCCCAAAGCCTGCCAGCTGCCCACCCCCCTTGCCTCATACCTTCCCCAGGGGAATCCCCAAGGTGGGGGAAAGCCCAGCTGCCCCCGTCTCACCTGGGGCCCAGTTCCTCTCACCTCACGGGCTCTGGGACTTCCTCTAGCACCATCTGGAGCACGCTGTGAAAGTCCCTCAGCTGCAAGGCAAACACAGTGACCTGAAAACGCAGCTGAGCTCTAGCAGGTTGTCCTGAAGGAGGCTGGGCACGGCAGCAATTCTCCCTCCCTGAGCCTGGCCACCACAAGGACCTTCTGAAAACCTGGGATGCTTCCCTGCTGCCTCTTTCCCTCCCTAGGAAAAGTGAAGTTGCTGCCAGAACATGAGCCAGGACTCAGGGGCTTGTCTCAGCTGGGCCTGGGGCAAGAAGGAAAGGAAAGGCCTTCCTGATGCTGACACTGCCCCTCAAGTGTCTGAAGCCACCACACCCTCCCAGGACAGACACAGGTGGCTGCATGCTGGGTTCAGACGCAGACCCACTCACCTTAGCCCCAAACCCACTAACAACGGCCCCGGAGCATCCTTTTCATGCCCAGCTCAAATTCCCCTCTAGCCGGCCATGGCTCATGGGGCTTCCCACCACGCTGGGCTGGCGCTGTGCTAACCTGGCCCTCAGGGTCCCCCGCCTCACGCTCTCAAGGGGCTGCTGTGGTATGGGTGGGGATGGTAATGTTTTTTGCCATAGTAGACATATGGGAGACACCCAGAGCTGAGGACACCAGCCCAGGGTCTGGCTGCACATGGGGCGACTCTGGGATCAGGACCAGGCACGATGAGCTGCTTCGTCCTGCACACCAGTGGTGCACGCCAGCCCCACTCAGCCAAGTGCCGGCCTGGGCAGGATGGCACCTCGGCGGGCCCAGCTGTGGCTTCAGTGCGATTGAAGAACATGGGGTGGGGGGGGTGGCGTCTAAGGACATGATCCAACCATGTGTGGCTACGGAGATGACACCATCTGTACCTCATGCGGAGAAAAGCTCAGGATGAACTCGTGGTCTGTGTGGGGGCCGAGAACCCCCTTTCTGGGCATGATGGAGAAGGCGGTCTCCCTGTCAGGGTGGCATTTGATGCTGTCCATGCTGTAGGTTTCTCCAGGCATGAGGGGCTGCAGGTTGGGCTTCATGATCTGCCAGTGGAAGGCCAGCTCCACATGCCTGTGGGGGCAATGCATCCAAGACCATGGCCCAGTTCTGCTGGGACCAGTCCCCCACCCCAGGCCTGCCTGCCCTGCACCAGGAAGGAGCCAGAAAGGACTAGGAAGAGGAAAAGACCAGGTCAGCCTTCATGCCCTTCCAATGGAGGAGCCTGGGGCGGGGGAGCTGGTTGAGGGCAGCAGGTGGGTGAGGGCAGCAGGTGGGTGAGGGAGTCTGAGAGAGAGACAATGTCAGAGAGCCCCTCGCTTCCCACCCATGGCAGCTGGAGGGTGGACCTACCATGACTCGGGGGACATAGTAAGTCAGGAAATCATGCTCCAAGCATCAAAGTGAAGGAGTCCAGGCATCACCCCGGGTACCGGGAAGCTCTTCTGCAGTGTCTCCCCCACATGAGTTTCCAGGGTTTGCTGTGTCAACCCCACCCCTGCCCTGTGCCTTTCCTGCTATGGGCTCCCAGCAAAGCTGTGTCCAGAAAGATACGTGCCCACTGGCTGCCAACAGGAACGGTGGCAACTCCACAGCATAGGAGGGGCAGGACTTGCAGCTACCTGGGGGTGGGGTGACAGAGTCCTGTGTAATGCCTGGGGTCCCGGGGGCAGCCCTGGTTGAGAGGCTCTCTGAGACCTGTCCTGGTGTCATGGAGGTGCTCAGAGGCGGGTCAGGAGTCTGCCTGCCCCTGGGGTGTCGATGGCTTCCCCTGCACAGGCAGGGTATGCCCTGTCTGGGAAGCTGAGGCTGGCTAGGGATGGTCCAGGATGCTTTGGAGCAGCACCGTCTAACAGAGCTTCCTGCAGGGATGGAGGTCTTGTATTTCTATGCTGTCCAGTATCACCGCCACTAGCTGCATGTGGCTGTTGAGGACTTAAAATGCGGCTGGTGCCACTGAAGAAGTAAGCTCTTAATTTAATTTTAATTGATTTAAATTTAAATAGCCAAGAGCAGCTACTGGTTTCCATGATGGACTGTGTAAATCTGGATCCTTCAATCAAATCTGGATATCCATCCTGTGCCCAGACTTCCCCAGGCCCTTGGAAGGACCTCCTGCCTCACTGGGACTCAGGGCCAGGTAAGCAAGGAGGAAGGCTGGGTGCTGGGGCACACACAGGGGCTACCCACGTAGCGTTTCTAATAACCAGCTGCTTCCTAGCTGTGGACAGAAGGTTTTCAGGCTCGAATCGTATGAAGTGCTGGGCTGTTAAGTCTGTGAGCTCTCCAGGGTCCGGTTGACTTTTTTCGCCAGAAATATAGATCAGATCCAAAGCAATCAGCTGCCCAATTCCTGCCAAAGTGGGGTAAGTGAAGTCAGTGAAGGCTCAGTATGGCTGGAACCAGGCCAATGCTGCCGTAGGACCCTTGCCACCATCTGCATGCAGCTGGCCTTGACCATGATCCCTGCCAGCTCATGGGGATGTCTGTGAGGGGAAAGGGGGATGTCCGCATACAGGCTAACATCCTCACATCTGTGAAGACCAAAAGGAGGTGATTTTGAGAACCCTGCATAGAACAGGGACTCAGTTAATGAGGAAGGGGGAGAAGCGGGAGGAAAGGAGGGAGGGAAGGAGGGAAGAGGGAAGGAAGGAGGGATGGAAGAAGGAAGGGAGGGAGGAAGAGAGGGAGGGAGGAAGGAAGGGAGGGAGGGAGGAAGAGAGGGAAGGAGGAAGGGAGAGAAGGGGGGAAGAGAAGGAGGAAGGGAGGGAGGGAGGGAGGAGGGATGGAAGAAGGGAGGGAGGGGCATTTTATGGTGATTCCCAGGATGCCTCTTCTAACCCTACAGAAACCTAGAGGTGCCTCTGGCTGTTTATGTGTGAGTCACTGGCAATCCCCCAAAGGGGATCGAAGTGAGTTTCAAAATGAAACAATGAAAGATTTCATCCCAGGTTTCCATCTGTCTCTTGCTAGAAGGCTCCTTGGACTGTCTTGGAGACCACACTGGCTTGGGTCTCCAAGGTCAGACCAGAGCGAGGGGCCCAAAACTAGACTCTGGCACCTGGAGGCTGCAGCATTCTCAGTGTGCTCCTGACACGGAGAGGGCACAGCTGGGCTGCTGCCAGTGCTAACGCAGTCGGTGGCCCCTGCAGCGGGGCAGCCCCCCAGCCCTGCCCGGGGGTGCACTTAGGCCCACCTACGGCCACCAGCTCCCTTATCTGGCAGTTGTCACACACAATGATGAAGGTCTGCTCCGCCTTTCCTAGGCTCTTTGGGAAAAACAAAACCTGGGGAGAGAAGAGTTGTTCTGTAACACATCCCATTAGAGGGCTCCCACCCTCCCCACCTCCCACCCTCCTCCTCTCACACAGACACCCCTCCCTTTGCTCTTGACTCTCTGCTCCCCTCCCTGCCACCTCCCACCTTACTCCTGAGGCCGTGTTTCAGCCTCGCTCCACCCCAGACTAAAGCAGGGAGCAAGCTGAAAGGATATGAAGAGAAAGTTCACAGAACCAAGATACAAATGGCCCTTAAAGGAATGACAACACATATCCTCATTCACGATAAGAGAAACGTCAATGAAAACCATCCAGGAGAGGCAAAGAGCAGAGTGAGCTGTCGTAAGTGCAGTGATTTGCTTTCTAATGTTTTCTCCAATTCCCTCAGCCCCCAGCCCCAGTAACCGCCATTCCACTCTCTGCTTTTAAGAGTTCAGTATTTGAAGGTCCAGCCTATGGGTGAAGCTGTGCAGTATTCATCTGTTGTGCTTGGCTTCACATAATGGCCTCCTGACTTCTCCACGTTGTTGTAGGCGGCAGGGTTTCCTGCTTTTGCAAGGCTATTATTCCACTGTGTACACACACCTCATTTTCTTCATCCATCTATCGATAGACACTTAGGGTGATTCCGAAGCTTGCCTATTGTGAATGATGGTGCGGTGAACAGGGGAGTTCGGGTGTCTTTTAAATGGTATCTTTTGAGCCCAGGACTTAGAGGCTGCAGTGAGCAGTGATACCACTGCACTCCAGCCAGGTTTCATTTGTGGACATACCCAGTAGTGGGACTGCTGAATCATACAGTCGCTCTAGTTTTAATTTTTTGAGGGAACTCCATATTATTTTCCATCACGCTGTACCAGTTTACATTCCCACCAACAGTGGGCAAGGGTGCCCTTTTCTCTACATCCTCGCCAACACGTGCCTTTCATCTTTCTGATAATAGCCATTCTATTGGGTATCAGGTGAGAGCTCATTGTGGTTTTACTTTGCATTTCCCTGATGATTAATAATGTTGATAACGTTTTTTATACACTCATTGGCCATTTATATGTCTTCCTTTGAGGAATGTCTATTTGGTCTTTTGCCTATTAAAAAAAATCAGATTATTTTCTTTTCTTCTTTTTTTTTAGATGGAGTCTTGCTCTGTCACCAGGCCAGAGTGCAGTGGCACGATCTCGGCTCACTGCAACCTCCGCTTCCCGGGTTCAAGCAATTCTCCTGCCTCAGGCTCCCAAGCAGCTGGGACTACAGGCATGCACCACCACACCCAGCTAATTTTTTGTATTTTTAGTAGAGACAGGGTTTCACCATATTGGCCAGGCTGGTCTTGAATTCCTGACCTCAGGTGATCCACCTGCCTCAGCCTCCCAAAGTGCTGGGGTTACGGGTGTGAGCCACCATGCCCAGCCCAGGTTATTTGTTCTCCTGCTATTAAGTTCCTTACATATTTTGGGAATTAACCCCTTATCAGATGTATGACAGGGTTTTCTCCCATTTCACAGACTCTGTCTTCACTCTGTTGCTGGTTTCCTTTGCTGTGTAGAAGCTTTTTAGTCTGAGGTAATCCCATTGGTCTACCCATGTTTGTTTCTTTGTCTGTTTCGTTTTTTGAGACAGGGTCTTGTCCTGCACCCAGGCCGCAGTGCAGTGGTGTGATCGCTGCTCACTGCAGCCTCTAACACCTGGGCTCAAGCATCCTCCCACTTCAGCTTCCCAAGTAGCTGGGACCACAGGCACATGCCACCACACCTGGCTAGCTATTTTTATTTTTATTTTTTTATTTTTTGAGATAGAGTCTTGCTTTGTCACCCAGGCTGGAGTGCAGTGGCGCGATCTCAGCTCACTGCAACCTCTGCCTCCTGGGTTCAAGTGATTCTTCTGCCTCACCCTCCTGAGTAGCTGGGATTACAGGCATGTGCCACCATGCCCGGCTAATTTTTTGTATGTTTAGTAGAGACATACATGTTTTACCATGTTAGCCAGGATGGTCTTAATCTCCTGACCTCGTGATCTGCCGGCCTCAGCCTCCCAAAGTGCTAGGATTACACACATGAGCCACCAGGCCAGGCCGTTTTTTACATTTTTTATAGAGATGGGCTCTCCTTGTGTTGCCCAGGCTGGTCTCAAACTCCTGGGCTCAAGCGGTCCTCCCGCCATAAAATCCTGAGCCACCGTACCTGGCCCCATTTTCATTTTTGTTGCCAGTGCTTTTGAGATCATATCCAAAAAAATCATAGCCTAGACCGATGTCACAGAGATTTCCCCTAAGTTTTCTTCTAGTAGTTTTTTTTTTAAATTGCATTTTAGGTTTTGGGGAACATGTGAAGAACATGCAAGATTGTTGCATAGGTACACACACGGCAGTGTGATTTGCTGCCTTCCTCCCCGTAACCTATATCTGGCATTTCTCCCCATGCTATCTCTCTCTTCTGGTAGTTTTACATTTTCAAGTCTTACATTTAAATCTTTAATCCATAAGTTAAGTTTTATATATGGTGAGAGATATGGGTCTAATTTCATTCTGATGAATGCAATGATATTTTGTCTTTTCTTCAAAATAATCTAGAAGAGCAAGGTGGGGATTAGCTTCGGGAAATGGAGGGGTATAGATGGCATAAGATTGGCCAAGAGTTGATAACTGCTAGGATGGTAATGAATACATGGGTGATCACTGTTTTCTCTATTTTTGTGCATGTTTTTATATACAATGTCCATGAACAGTTTTTAAGTTTGACAATATACTGTATTGGCAAAGGTGTTAGGAAACAGACACCCGTACATATTGCTGTTGAAAGCTTAAACTGGTACAACCCACATGGTAAAGACTTTGGCAACATGCGTTACAATTACAAGAGCACCAGGCCCTGGAACAGCAACTCTTCTAGGACTGTATCCTACAGGTACACACATCCTCGGATAGAGTGATGTATGTGTAATTCATACATAATTGGTAGCCAGAGATCAGAAAAAAAATCTTCATGTCCATCAGCAGGAGACTACTGAACTAAATTATGGCCCATTCACACAATAGGATACTATGCAGTTATTAAAACATATGAGAATGATCTCTAAGATATAGGGTTAAGTAGAAAACATGGCAAAGAACAGAGTATAGAGTGCGCAACTTGCTGTGTGAAGGAAAAAAATGCACATGGGGAAAAGACTCAGTGCAGCTGCTTATTTGGGCATAGACTATCTCTGGAAGGGCACTCAGAAAACTGGTCAGGTGTGGCTCCAGATGGCTGAGGAACTGCGGTGAAAGGGAGCATTTCACTGTTTACCTATTTGCAGTTTTGAATGTTTTATTGTTATCTATTTTTTGATACAGGGTTTCACTCTGTCACCCAGGCTGGAGTACAGTGGCTCAATCACAGCTCACTGTAACCTCAAACTCCTGGCCTCAGGTGATCCTCCTATCTTAGCCTCCAAAAGTGCTGAGATCATAGGTGTGAGCCACTACACCTGGTGCTTTTGAATTTATTTTTACTTTAAAAATTGTTTATACAGACAGGATGCCACTATATTTCCCAGGCTGGTCTTTAACTCCCAGACTCAAGCAGTTCTCTTGCTTTAGCCTCCCAAAGTGCCAGGAGTACAGGCCTGAGCCACTGCACCCAGCCTCTCTCTTGAATTTTTAATCATGCAAATGTATTTCTTATTTGGAACTATGAATACATTTTTAAATAAACAAAACCCCAAACAATCAATAAACAAAATATGCAAGAAATGCAAAGGGGAAAGAAAGCCTCCCCCGACTCCCTCGCTGCTCCCCTAAGAGTCCTGCTGCTACCCTCTTTCTTTACTTGGAGATCCCAGGAGGATGGGATGAGGGGGATGTCCGGGGCAGACCAGCTCCAATTCTCTGAAGCTTCGATGAGCCTGTGACACGGCTTGGACTATATATAAGAGAACAGGGAGCCTGGCCTATGTATGAGCCTTGTAGACCCACCTGCCCTTCAGCAGCAGATGAGGCCTGACGAAGCCCCAACTGACTGAGTCTCAATCTCAAGAACTAGGTTCTCATCAGGGATCAGATCAGCAGGGACCTGAATAGGAGAGCCACACCCTAGGGCTGCAGAACCCACTGGGCACTTGAAACTAGAAAGCAGCTGATAAGAGGAGGCCCTTCCTGACAGCATGGCAGAGTCGCTGTGGCAGTCGAGCTCCGCCTTGCTACACACCAGCATTCCCTGGGGGACGTTAGAAGTCCTACACCCAGGCCACAGCCCAGTCCAGTGAGCTCAGAACCTCAGGGGTGGGGCCTTGGTGTTGTTTCCAGGTCTCTCAGGGGATTGCAATGTGCAGCTGAGTTTAAGAACTAATAAGGGATGCTGTATCTCACGACCTGGTGATGTGGTGCAGGCCAAATCCACCCCACAGAAGCCAGACAGTTTTCGCTCCTGAACGTCAGGTGCCTCCCTCAGCAGGCTAGCGTGAAAGGCCAAGCATGTCTGTGGCAGCCCCACACGCAGTCACATGGAGTGGAGTCACACTCCTAGAGCAGCCGTCGGGGAGGGCGGCAGTGTGCCGCAACAGGGACAGGAAGCATCACCATTTCTCACGGGCACCTCCGGGGACCAGCAGGCAGACGCGACAGCAAAAGGGGGCAGCCAAAGGGGCCAGTTAGGAAAGGAGGTGCCCACAGCCAGGGGCAGGCCTCTGAGAGCTTCCGCAGAGGTTCAGGATGAGGCCTAAGGGAGGTGGGCCTTGCTGACTACACAAACTGAGGATGAAGCAGGAAAGCTAGAACAAAGCCACAGTCATCGCCCAGGTACCAGATGATGGGGGGAGGGAAGGCCCAAGACAGACTGAGGAACCAAGCGAAGCTCTTGGAGGTAGCTTGGACATTGGGGGAGGTGGCTCCCGGACGAAAGGTGTGGACAAGCGAGGCTCAGGTTTGTGCTATGACGCATGGGCTGTCTGCATTTGCTTTGTGAAAATGCTCCTGAGACAGTTGAATGACACCTGACGTCACCCTGCAGAATGCAAGAATAGGCGTCTACCCAGAAATCACTAAGGCTGGGAGGTGGGATGGGACTGGCCATTTGAGTCATGAAAATGGAGAGAAATGCAAGCATGCAAGCAGGTGAGGAAATACACGCCGAATCTGATCACCCACCTCCACTAACACAGCATGTCCCGGGGCCAGCTCAAACACCGAAGGCCGGATTCCAAAAGGAGGCTGCTCAACAAAGCCGGCGGTTGCAATGGCCTTAAAGAAAAGCAGTTTACACAATGGTGCGGAAGAAACTGTAAAAGCCAGTGTTCAGACTGCAAACTTCTCTCCTTCAAACATCCATTTTGCAACGTGAAGGACCTTAAGGACTATCCAGTCACATGGTGATGAAGAAAGGGAGGCTTGTTCATTCAGCAGCATTTACTCAGCCAGCACCAGGTACTAGGTGAGGCTCTGAAGGTTATCTGTGAGGAGCTGACTATGGGCAGGAGGTACAAGGAACACCATCACCAAGTGGGTGGGACACAAATGACAGGCGTGTGAGGTCTCACTCAGGAGGTGAGCTGCGGGGGCCCTCCCCTGGGCTCCAAAACATATTGTCCTTTCCCTACTGTGACATCCTGTGTGACAGGTGCTAGCATACGGGTCTGCCTCCAACCCTGACCCACCCCTGGCTACAGGCTCCTGAGTCACAAGGGCTGCAGCCGCAGTGCCTACACAAGAAGCCACTTAGCATGCCAGGGACACAAACCCATGCCTACAAGACCCCGGTCAGTCACAGAAAGAGCGAAATGTTGTTCTTGGAACATCTCGAAACAGGGCAGCCCTTGCTAACAGGCTCACAGTGAATCGCAGCCCTAGGCTGCTTATCTTCCAGTTTTTCAGAGAAACTGGAAATGTAGAATTTTATGTGAAATCTCCTTATTTTTAAATGTTGACTCAAAAAATGTTAAGTGCTGTGCCAAATAACTACCAGCAGAATTTGGCCGAAGGGCAGCCAATTTGTGACCTCTGAAATATTCAGTCATTTGCTACAATAAAGAAGGGCCGAATGAGCGAATGCAGTCACATTTGAGCCAGCTCTTAAAGGATAAGAAAGGTGATGTTGCTCACGCAGGCTGGTGCAGGCCTTACTGGCATAACCAGAACTACAACACCGGTCCCCTTACACACCCCTTCTCATTCGGGTTGTGCCAGTTGCACAGAGAGGTTACAGCACTCCACCTTCTGTGTGTTTCTAGTCATAGGTGTGCTCCAGCAAGCTTCTCTGGGGGCTATTTCCTTTGATGGATTTGCACTTTTTCCAGTTAGCAACCTGTGATCACTCACCTTGAAACTTAGTGCTGGCCAGCTCGTTTTGGGCATAATGCAGAACCTGCCAACACTGAATCCCACATTTTTGCAGATGAATTTGGTCATCTTGACTCCCCCAATGAGGCAGTAACCGCAGTCCAACACTGGTGACACTGTAGCCACAGAAGAATACATGCAAGAGAAACAACGGGTCACTCTGAATAGGCCCTACTGTCGTGGTTCTTCTGAGGTCCAGCCAGACATCAGGACAGCTGGTCCCAGCCCAGCCCTCCGCAGAGAGGATGAGCGCACATGTGTCCTGACCCCTGCACCACTTGGGCTCCGCCCAGGCTGCTGGTGGGCCACAGGGCAGTAACGCCATGGGACTCTCTTCACTCCTAGCTAGAGCAGCAGAAGTCAGTGCCCATTGTGGATTCATGCTTTGCTAGGGCCACCCAGCATGGCCCTTGGGGGCTATGGCAGAAGTAAGGGGGATCACAGTCCCAACTTCCTGCCTATGCTCAGCTGGAGAAACTTGTCACTAAGGGAGCCCAGCTGAAGCCAGCTTTGCCAAGGAAGCCTACTCCCACTGCCACGAGGACAACACCTGTTAGGACTCCTCAGGGCGCACAGGCGCTTCTTCCTTGCCGGCTGTGGCACGGGTCCCCTCGGGGATGGTCACAAGCCAGCAAAACCTATGCTGGGGTTAGCTGGACTGCTGGCCTCCTCCCTCACTGTGAGTCAACCTCCACTGAGAAAACCCAAAAGCAAGCAGGACACTCGTGGCTTCACACTGTGGATGGCTACAGAAGCTGCTAGCAGTATCCTCTGCAGGACCCAGGGCCCCTGCTACAAAGGGAACCTGAGAGCCAGGCGGTCCTTATGGGGGTCTCCAACCTTAACTGAGCCTGTGGGAAGCTGCGGTGCACACTTACATGTCAGCACGGGGGGTGGCCTCCGGGCCTGCAAGGGGATCAGAAGCGTGTGGGCTGACTGGGTCTCCACTAAAATAAAATCATCAAAATCCCCAAGGCAGTCGGGAAAAAACTGGACAATGTACTGGCAGGTCATTCCAGGAGCCACCATTCCACCTTTTCCTGGGAACATCCCTGTGCATGACAAAAGTGACAAGTGAGGATCCAGGGAGCAGCCAGCCACCAGGACGTGAGCTCAGCTAGCATGGACCCCAGCCACAGCCAGGGCTGGCTCTGTGAGTAAGGGTCTTCTGGGCCAAGGCTGTGCTGACAGCAGGAGAAGGGCACGTGGGGGGAGCAGGCTGCAAGGACGGTGACTACCCAGAACCCTTGGGGCCTGCCTGGCCCTGTGGCTTAGAATTTCTGTGGTGGGCAGCAGAGAAACTTTTGAGATTTCTGAATAGGGGTGACATGATCAGAGTTGTTTTTGAGACAAACACTGTGACACTAAGTAGGAAGGCTGACTGTAGGCTGCTGCCTGGGCTTAAGTGAGGAATGGAGAGGGCCTGATTGAGGACAGCGGCAGCATGAGCAGGGAGAAAGCAGGACCTGGGCCTGGGCGGAGGCAGTCAGGAGAAAAGAGCTGTCAGGGCTCTGAGTACGCACTGCTGGGGGAGCGGGGGGCCCCGGGACTGCTGGGGGAGCAGGGAGCCCCGGGACTGCTGGGGGAGCTGGGGGGCCCGGGACTGCTGCGGGGGTCCGGGCCTGGGCAGAGGCAGTCAGGAGAAAAGGCTGTCAAGGCTCTGAGTATGCACTGCTGGGGGAGCAGGGGGCCCCAGGACTGCTGGGGGAGCGGGGGCCCCGGGACTGCTGTGGGGGTCCGGGCCTGGGCTCAGGACTCAGGGTGGGGGTCGGCAACAGGCAGCAAGCTCATCAAGTGACTCTGAGGCAATTCACAGTACTGCTACTGCTACTACTACTACTACCATTACTATACCACTACTACTGCCACTACCGCTACTACCACTACCACCACCACCACCACCACTACTACTACTACCACCATTACTGCTACTACTACCACCATTACTACCACCACCACCACCACCACTACTACCATTACTACACCACTACTACTGCCATTACTGCTACTACCACTACCACCACCACTACCACTACTACTACCATTACTACCACCATTGCTACTACCATTACTACTACTACTACCATCATTACTACTACCATTACTGCTACTACCACCATTACTACCACCACTACCACTACTACTACACCACTACTACTGCCACTACTGCTACTGCTACCACCACCACCACTACTACCACCACCACCACTACTACCATTGCTACACCACTACTACTGTCTCTACTGCTACTACCACTAGCACCATTACCACCACTACTAACACCATTACTACTACTACTACCACCATTACTACCACCA